CGCCACCACCTCCCTCCTCCGGGCCGCCCGCCCCCGCCGCCGGCTCCTCGCGCGCTCCCGCCCGGCGCGCGCCCGTGGCTCCCATTGAGCCCCGGGCCCGCCCGCTGATGTCATCCCCCGCCCGCCGCCGCCCCGGAGGATTTAAAGGGCCCGCGTCCTGTGAGACCCGGGATGCTGAAGGATCGCAGCCCCCGGGAATGCCGCTCCCTCGGACCCTCTCCATGGTTGCGCGTGGACCCCAAGAGCGCGCGGGGAGGCTGCCACCCCGGCACACACCAAGACACAGAAGGCCGGGTGCAGGGCGCACAAAAGCTGGGTTTCACATCCAGAGCTTCCTCTCATCTGGCCAGCCAAAGCAACTGGCCCCTAGGAGGGCGGATGGACAACGCCCGGTACCGAAAAAAGATGGTAGAAACTTGGGACTCAGTCGACTCAAGGCTCTGCGCGGTGCAGAAAACACTGACCAGGCCAGGAATGGAGGTTCAGTTCGTGGACAAGGGCCGAAGAGGAACCCAGAGCTCCAAACCCAGAGGGGTCTCTAGGGCAGAGACACTTTTCCTCTGCCCTGCTGTCCTCGTCGCTCAGCTCCACTGTGACAGGCACCAGGAAGACCCTCATTGAGCTCCCTTCCCCCGCCCATTGAGCTCCCTTCCCCCGCCCCCCCCACATGTAAGGAGTGGAAAGGTGCGCATTCAGTCAAGTCATCCCCCCAGCCCTGGGGCCTATATTTCCTTAACTACTTAAGGGGAAGGACCGTGTCCGCCCCAGGTCACGGGAGTGTTAATGAAGGCTTCCTAATATTTACACTGGGTCATGCAAAGCTCCAGTTTGTGACACGCCTACATTCTCACCCTCACAACTCTGACCGGGACACACATCCACATCCAATCCCGGAAGTATACTTCTGAAGAGTCACTTCCATAATAACTACTGCATCTTGCCTGGAGCCTGAGGGACTTAGTCAGATACTGTCCAAATTGCCAGGAGCCCTACAGGCCCTTCCACAGGCCAGGCAACTGTGGCCCAGAGAGGGTTAGAGGTGTGCCCAGGACCATACAGCCCAGCAAGATGGCCCTGTTCTTTCAGTGGTCCCAGGAACAGTAGCTAGAGGAGCCCATTTCCAAGAACAGGAAAGTGAGGAGGAAGCGTCCCTCAGAAGATGCCTGCAACGGTCAACTGGGCACTACCTCTTTGTGCCACCTTTGCCTTGGCAAGGGGCCACCAACCCCATGGTAGGTTTGGCTTGGCCTGCATGGTGCTTCTTGGATTTGTTTTGTCCGCTGATTCCCAGTTGACAGGTTTTTTATTACAGACCCCCCCACCCCCCACATTCCTGATTTCTCTTGAAGCCTTGCCCACTCTGATCACAAATTCTCATCAGGCCCTGGCCGCATGTAGCTGGCTTGGGCAGCAATCAGACCCTCTGTTCAGAGCCCAGGCAGTGGGGCCCTGGC